TTTTTTTTTTTTACTCTTTACTTAATGTTCTATCGTTCGAAGTACCAATTTCTTTTCTTTTCTTTTCTTTTGTTTACCCCAGGTGGGCTCGGACATGAAATGGCTGGGATGGTGGCAGCTTGGAATGCCCCTGGGTATCTTGCTGCCATGGTGTTGTCAAAAGACCTGGGAGGGGGAGTGAGAAGGCTAGGATGGTCTCTTTTCTTTTTCTTTTTTTTAAACCAAGCAAAAACAACGAAACTGAGCTTCTGTTCTCTTCGTTACAAAGAGATCGGCTGAATTCATTTATTATTATTATTATTATTTCCTTCTTATTACCCCTCATATGTTTTGGAACCGCTGCGGGTTGGAAAAGGCAGGACAGGACAAGGGTTTGAACATGAAATACAGTCAGGCTCCACATTTGTCATGTATTTTATTATTTCCCTTCCTCACCTCTCAGACCTGTAGGCAAGGTCCTTCATTTTTCACATGACTGGTTTTCTTATCATTGTGGGCCCTCTCTGCTGGCCTACGAGTGACTTAAAGGCAATAAAACACAAAACATTCTGTAAAACACAGATGCCTTACAGTGCCTTTCCGGGGAATTATGATAATAACTCAGGGATGGTTGGAGTGGCCAGGTCATTGTGGATGTGGGGAAGGGGGGCTAGGGGCGATGGGAGTAAGTTCACCGAGGTTCTTTGAGCAGGGACAGGTCAAGGTGGGCTGTTGGGCCTCCCCATCCGCCCTCCCTTTCCCAGCCTCCCCAGTCATAAACTCTTCCTATCATGCAGGATGCCGGCTACAGAAGGTACAAAGCAGAACCTCTTTGTCTTGTAGCTGCTGGGGATAAAGCAGTGGCTGATGGGAAAGCGGTTGCGTTGGCCCCTGGCAACGGCGAGGTCAGCTGGAGAGTTGATCATAGCCAGGAGAGGAAAAACTCCTGAGTCAACACGACTCTGCAGTCTGCCCCCTGAGGGTCAGCTATCCTGTGAACTTGGTACTTTGTAATTTAGTTCCTCTGAAAGAGAAGACAGAAGGTGACAAGATTTTAAGTCGTCTTATTGCTGAACTCTCTGGTTATGATTTTTTTTTTTCGGTGTCTGGATTTGTTGCAGGGTGGAGGGAGGGGCTGGATGTAGTCCTACAACACCTTTCGAGTGTGTGAATGAGAAGGAGTGAGGACAGGAAACGAGTGTGGGCTCCACCACTGAGGTGCTGACAGAGGGGGGATAGAGGGGGCTGAAGCTGCACCTGTTCCGGCCCAGCACCCTCCCAGCAGGGCTTCGTCAGAGTCTCGGCCTTCTCCTGGCATCTGGGATGGGGGCCAGGGCCAGTCCCACCTCCAGCGTTTGCTCCACCTCTTCGCTGCTTGTGGATGAGAGACGAGAAACGCTGGAGGCTCCATCTGCCGAGGGCTCGCTGCGGTCTCCGCGGCCCGCCTGGGGAAGGGGGTTGCCGAGCCTCCACGACTCTGCCACGGGGGTCTCACAGTGGTAGACCACAATGCGGCACATCACGCGTCACATGCCAGCTGGCCAGGATTTCTCTCCTGTAAACAGAGACTAATGACCACTCAACACACACACACATAGAATAAATATCCCTTGGTGGAATGGAGGCGGGTGAGACTATGTAGGTGAAAAGACTTGGTTTGATTTCGTTAAAGGAGAGCAGCAGAACAAGGGGGTTCATGTCACAGTGGGACATTGCTAAAGCTTCTCTCAGATGCTGACTATAAGTCCACTACATCACAGTCATGCAGTTTCCTGCTTACACGCAGCATCACAGGCCTCCCAGTGCTCTGCAAGCCTCTGGGCTCCAACAGGTCCACCCGCTGAGTCTGTAAAGCTCCCCTGTTGGATTTCTATCGCGTGGAACTGCATGGAGCAAAGAATTCAGCCAAGGAATCCTGTGATGGTTGGTTCTCCAGGCTGAAGGACATTAGTATCTCTATACTTCCTATCCGGTCTCCCTAGAATCTCCTTGTCCATGTCTCCAAAGCTCCGTTTTCCCCACATTCAATTAGATTATA